TCCCACACCCAGCTCCAAGCTGCTTGTTGCCCCTGGTCTTAGACTGTGTTTCAAGACCCCCTCACTTTGGGAACAACCCCCCTCACTTTTCATCACTCCCTGTTGGTCTTTTCTCCCTTCTCTTTTTACTCAAAGAGAACTGAAGCCTTGCATTAAATGTCTCCCAAAGAAAATATATTTTTGGCTCCTACTCATTTTTGAAATCATTTTTCAGCATGAATAGCACAACCCTCTGTCATTTGAGTTTTGTCAATTTTTGAGCAATAGCTTAAGCAGCAGTAGGTTGTTTGGGAGTAGCCAGGAAAATAAGCTCTGGTCCATGTGCTCCAGAACTAAAAAGGAATCAACAGCAGGTCCAAAGGCAGAAGCTTAAACTCTCCACATCCCGTGTTGTCCTTTCCATTTGGTTTCCATGGGACCTTGTTTTGGGGGTGGGAAGCATTTCCAAAAGCACTGGATCTTATTCTTTGGAAAAATAAAGAACTGAATTTTAGGAGGACAAAAAAAGGAGTGCATTAAGAGGTGGGTAATGGACTGGCGCATAAGAATGTTGATGCCTGATGCTTTCAGAAACCAAATCCAAGGCTAGTTTCCAAAGCCCCTGTTGACGGCCATTTCTACCAAAGCAGCCTTTAATTGGCATTAAAAAAAATCCAGAGGAGGTTATAGCTTTTTCCAACCAACCCACCACCTAGAATGCAGTGTCATGTTTTAGGGGGGCTCTTGTAGATTCTAAGTGATCCTGTGACTCAGCGAGCCAGCAGGGTTCTCCTCGGCATCCATATTTTCAAGGATTCTGTGTTGAGACTGAGACTGAAATGTACTAAAAGCAAATAAGTAGGAGCTAAAAATGAGCATGGCAGGTCAGAACTGCTAAGGCCCTAACCCCTGATAAGGACCTCATTGTGACAGACAACTAAGTTGGGAAGAAATTAAAATTTATGGCTTGGCAGGACCTAATAGCTAGTTGTCAATATATTATGAAATTTGTCTTTGCTAGCCCTAAATACTGATACCTTCCAGGGGAGAGTTGTATTTTTACAATACCATCTTAGAGTTGGGATTCATCTCTAATAGAGGGCTGGTACTCAGGGTGACAGGTAGTAGGGAGAAGACTGTGTTGAATTTCTAAGTTCACACCATACAGGTGCGATGAACCTGCCCAGTAGTGTGTGGTGAAGGAGGAAGAGCAATGTGTACAGTATGCGCTACCAAAGGGGTGGGGACAGAAAGCATCTGAAACACTAGCCCATTTATTCATTCATTTGAAGACATTTGACCAAGTTCCTCCTGTGTGCCAGGTACTAAACAAATGCTAAAAATATTGCTGCAAACAAAACTCACAAAGCTACCAGCCCTTACAGAGCTTACAGGTTCTCGAAACAAAAATAGAACTCATCAATGTGCCAAGTAAACTAGTCAACAAATTCAGGGTTCTGTTTCTCAGTAATACTGTAAAAAAATCAAGGCTCTGGACATAATAGATACAAATAAGAGTCCAATCTCAGAGAGAAATCTGCTGCCAAGTCATTTTCAATGCCACTCCCATCCCCTCCCTGTCAGGATTTTCCCTAGAAAAAAACTGATCTAAGAGCAGATCTGATTGCCTGTAAACACAGAGCAATGTTCATTCCCTTTGTAACCTTTTCTTTAACTAGATCTCAGTTTCCTCATCAATCAAACTGTTAAGAGAGATCATGGAGAAATGTAACTGAAATAATATGTAAGAAAGTACTTTGCTGAGCACAGCCTATGTAAGGAATTCACTTTTTAATCTCTCAAAAGACATTCCTATTGAGTGGCAGAACCACCTACCTTGGTCAAGTCGCCCTTTAATCCACACTTCCTGTTCCCCTCCACCTGGGCTCTTCCCCTTCCTCTGGGTGAAAGTCAGTTGCCCCCCCACACCCTGTAGGCCGCTCCCCCCCAGGACAAGTGTCCCCTCCTTGTCTCCCCTTCCCGGTTCTGGACATATGCCTCCCTCTAGCAAGCAGCACTGCAATTATTCCTTCACTTTTCTTCCTCCCTCACCAGACTTTGAACTCTTTAAACACAAGGATCAAAGCTTTCATCTTCTTGTTCCATTTTGCAGCTCTGTCACACGCCTCACACAGCCTGTAAGATAAATAAACACTTCTTGAGGGAATAAACAAACAAGATGACTGTCTCATTAGCAAGGTGAGCTTTCACACTCCCTTCCCTCCCTTGCTCTTTCTCTTTCTAATGCATACAATGTGTGCTTACAGACAAGAGCCTGCCATGGGAAGAAAAGCCTGATATCTAAATCTCCAGGGGACAAAGGATGCAGAGACATAGCTTGAATAAATAAAGTCACTCATTAATTTTGTGGGTGACCCCAAATTGGGATAAGAACTGATATATGTAGTACAAGTTGAAGAGAGCCAGAGGTAGACCCTGAACAAGCAGAAGGGGATGGGGAGGAGGGGGCTGGGTTGGAGACTGGCTCGTGCTCAGCTGCTTCGAGGGACCCTGGGTCTCATCCCTGTGCCCAGCCATCCAAGAGCTCTTCGAATCTAGGCCTTGCTTTCCTTCCAGGGGAGGAGCAAGATGGGCCAAGCAGCCTCACCCTCCCTGGCAGACACTTAGGAAGCTGCCGGGATGGTCATTACACCAGTGGCCGCTCCTCTGTGGTCACCACCATCAGTAACTCCACTTCCAGAACCCTTTCTCCACCACAGCTGGAGGAAAACCCCTGCCATCTTCCTGGTGAAAAGCCCATGGCACTGCAAGGTCCCTAAGTGTCCTGTTGCACTCTGTGCTATTGAGGCTGAACCCAGGGCCTTCACGATGATACCTCCCCCGTGCTTTTTTAACTTTTGTTTTTAGTTTGAAACAAGGTCTTGCCACATTGCTCAGGTAGGGCTCAAACTTGTGACCCTCCTACTTCAGCCTCCCAAATGCTGAGATTACAGGCATGCACTCCCATGCCTGGCCCCCAGTACCCTTTAAATTGTCACAGTAAATATTCCCAAATATTTCCTTCCTACAGTTTATACTTTACTAAATTTTGAATCTTTGAAAATTGGTGATTTGTGTATCTATGCTGTGCTTCTGGCCCCAGGTTCCTTAGCAGGATCTCCAAGTTCTCTGAAACTACCCTCCTGGGTTTACCTCCTCTGCGCCCCTCATCCTTTCTGATCCTATCTGCCTAGGAAAGCAGTGACAGTCCGTCCCTGCTACCATGGCAGTGTCATGAGCCCTGCAAGACCTCCGCATGGCCTTCTACCCTGCTGTCCATCTGCATTTTCCACCCTGACAGATGGCAAAAGGCCACAAACCTTCCCCTTTCTGAGCGCCTCTCCACCTCCCGGTTCCCTGGCCCCCACCTGCTTGGAAGAAGCTCTCTGGCCATCTCCTCTGTGGGGGGTGACTTGGGAAGTCCCCCCAGAGTTTTCCTGTCCCTAACTGCCCAAAACAGACTCGTGCCCTCTCCCCACGCATCGTCACACCTGGGCAGACGGGGACAGCAGCGGAGAGGAATGAGTCCCCCATTCCTGGTGGCTCTGAGGCAAGGGGAAGTCCCTTGCTGATGTCTCTTGTGCACCGTGCTCACCAGCCCACCCAACACTGCCATGTGCAGGACAGATGTGGAGCAGCCCATTTGCTTCTGCTTGGAAAGGGGCTGCTGTCACTGTGAGCCTCACCATTCAGACATTCTTCACGGTGCTATTTTTATCTCGGTAATCATTAAATTGATGTCAGATGGGCTGGTCCAGTCCTCATGTCCAGGCTGGGAGATGAGATTCTGTGGGTTTTCTCCGGGCGAGCGATGTTGGTGTCACTCATATGAAGGAGAATCTGGTACCCAAATCCTCACACTGAGCCTCGCTGGCCCCGGCCGTGTTCCTGTGGCCATCAGAGCATGGCTCATCTTCATACCCACCTCACTCCTGGCCCCCATTCACTGAACACATGCCGAGCACCATCTTGATGCCAGGCATTGAACAGGATGCTAGGGAGTCACAAAAAGATCTCTACCCCTTAAGAAACTTCATGTGACAATGAGAAAGCTTGTCACGTGAAGTGACAGTGGACCGGGCAAGTCACAAGGTCATGAATAAGGAGCATGGTGGAGGGAGATTTGTTCCACTTGGGTTTCTGGGAAAGATAAGTGGACCATTGGATGGAAACATGGCCCTGGGCAGAAGCATGTTAAACACTGGAGATTTGTCCAAACTCAGCCGTGTATTCAGCTCTCCCTGAGAGGCCCAGGCACATCCCCTGCCCTGATCCCCACCCTGGGAGGTTGTGAGGACAAGGACCGGACACAGGGATGCCGCCATATTGTTCCAAGGATCCTGACTCTGAGTCCAGACTCCAGAACTGGAACTCTGAGCAGGGCCCAGAGGGGAGAGGTGGCCTGTAGTGAATGATGTGACTCAGGGTGCTGATGCGAGACACAAGCTCGGGGTCCTCATCATGGGCCTTGTGAATGAGAACTTTGTGCCTGCATAGGACCAGGACCCCTCCCCGGCCACAGGGAGCAGGGATGCATCATTCTATGGAAACTGGGAGCGGGATTTTCTAGACTCTGTACCTTTCAGTCTGGGTTATAACTCTTGTGACTAAATGCCTGGAAATTCAGAATGAAATTTAACAGAAAACCAAAATGGGGCATAGTGGGACTGCAGGGAGAAATGTGGCACCGAATGATAGCAGAAAGTGCATTTGCAGATGTTCTGAGCCATGCAGGGCCTGGCGCCCTGGTTTTCATTTCTTCCAAGCAGACATTCCAAGCCCCACCCCCAGAGTCACACGGACACCAGGCAGGCACAGCCCTGCGGGGTGCAGTGGTGGCCGCGCTGCGAGGGCCTGTGAGGGCAGCCAGCTGGAGAGCCCGGGGCCACCTGTCTAGTCAGAGCCTCTCTGCTGTGGGCCTGGTGGAGCCAGGGCTGGCTTTGCGGTCTGACTAAAGTGACAATGAAATTAATAGGATCCTGATGTTGTGACTGAGGCCACTTCTCTGTGTCTCCAAACAGGGATGAGAGGGGAAATGTCATTAGGATGCCAGGAGGCTTTTGAAATCTTCAAGAGGGACCACGCTGACAGCGTTACCATCGATGACAACAAACAGATTCTGAAACAGAGGTGAGGCTATGTCGGAGAGCAGCTGGCCCTCCAGGGCTCAGCCAGGCCAGCCTAGAGGAAGGAGATGGGCTGTCTGTCCCTTCTGATCTGCCCAGCCTCACTCTGTGAGAAAGGCATGATGAGGGCCGGGGATTTAGCTCAGTGGTTCCAGCGCCTGCCTTGCAAGCCTAAGGTCCCAAGTTCGATCCCTGGTATAAAAAACAAAGCCAAAAAAAACTGTTGCAAAATTGTTTGGCCGGGGATTTAGCTCAGTGGTTCCAGCGCCTGCCACCCCTGTACCAAAAACAAACAACAACCACAAAAAATACTGATAAGATAAAAGAAAGGCACAATGTTCATTCAGCTTCACATCCGACTGTGTCCACTGTGGCGAGATTCTCTTCCACTTGTGCAAGCCTCGTCGCCCCAGTACTATTAGGGTGAGCAGCTTTTAGGACGGGGTCTGTTAGTGACCCATTAACCTGCACACAGTTCTCACACTGTACATTAACTCTCTTCAGCCTATGATGCTACTGATGCCATTCTGTTCCCAAGGCAGAGAACCAAATCTACGGACCACATCACACTCTGGGCAGTGCAGGCCCACCAGCAGTCATTCTTAGCCCTCCTTAGTCTACGGATTCACAAGCGTGTCTTGTGACCCAGAGTCCTTTGGTGAGTTCTTCGGCCCACTGTCAGAGCACCCAGGACTGTCTGCTGATGTGCTATCAAGCAAGACAGGGTTCGAGACCTTTAGAGAATGCATAATTTATTACAGCCCATGTGTGGATTCAGCAGACACAGCACACAGAACTTCCAGGGGCGAGGCCCAGCGCCCAAGGAAGAGTTCCCAACTGTCACAGGGAAATGACAGGTCACAGGTAGCTCTAGGTCTTAGCCTATGGGACATCTTCAAAACTGATTCGCTGGATCTCAGTGACATCTGATCTGGGAGATATGTGCTCATAAACCATACCTCGAGGCAGCCTGAGAAGTAGGAGAGCTAGTGCGGAGCTCCAGAGGACAGGGGGAGGCAAGGAGCCCTGAGAAGAAGCAGAAAAAGAGTAAAGAATGAGGGAGAGTGGAGCCCTGAAAGCCAAGAGGAGATGGGGTCTTCATCATTTTCCTCGTGGCTGGGACCATGCATGGCTCAAAGGAAGAGACGTTTACTCAGCTCACATTTCAGAAGCTTCCGTCCTGACCTGGTTGTCGGCCTGAGGGGAAAGCAGGCTCACAGGGTGGCAGGAAGGAGCCAGACAGGGATGGGCCCTTCCAGGCGCCGCCCTGAGCGACAGCCTCCACCCAGGCCCTGCCTCCTGACAGCAGGTCGGCTGCAGCCCCCAGAATCCAGTCACCAGCAAAAGCCCACCTCTGAGCAAGAGGCTTTTGGGGATGTTCTTGATCTAAACCATAGGAGATGGCTACAAGCAGCAGCACACTGTCAGTGGGGTTGAATGCCACAAAACAACAAGCAGAAGGGAGTGGAACAGCCACATAGATGTGGCCACTAGTCCATCAGGTGGCGTGTAGGGTGTGAAGAAGCAAGTGGGAAGGAATTGAAGGAGCGGAGGAAAAGGAGGACAAGCTGAAGACAAGCACAGATAACAGCTGTCACAGCCAGCAGGGCTTCCGCTGGCCCTCAGCTGTGCCCATGCCCGAGGCTTCTTAGCTTCCACAGGCGGCCCATCATCCTGGCTTCACGGCTGGGCCTGACTCGCCCTGGTAGTCTGATCTCACCGAGGGGGGCCTGAGCACACCTTTTTAAAACATGTATTCTGGTAACAACCAAATTTGCAAACCACTGGCGTGAGCCAGCTGTAATAACACTCACCTGTAATCCCGCATTCAGGAGGCTGGGGAAGGAGGATTGGAAGCTAAGGCCAGCCTGGACTATAGAGCGAGGCCCTGTCTCAAAAGAAAACCGCGGGCTTTGACAGAGCCCAGAGACCTTGAAATGAAACACCGCTGGTGTAAAATCCCCAGAATTCTACCAATTAAGAATATTACCAATTGAGTCTTTTGTGCCCTCAAGGATAAGAACTCCCGGCTCAGGGAGATCATGATACTTCCTCTTTCTTACTCTAAAAGTGGCCTGGATCTTGGTTGTCTTTGTACGGAGGTTCGGGTCTGTTTCCAGGGGAAACAGGCAGCCTGAGCAGGCTGTGGCCCTGAGCCCTGACGGCTCCTCATCCCCACCGAGCCATGTTGCTGTAGCTCAGTAGTCTGACAGCCTCTGAGACGCATGCTTTGGGTTAGGGTATCTGGCTGCAGTTCTGGTGAGCACATCTTCTCCATGGCCATTGTGTAAAAGAATGGATGAAACTCTCACAGAGCTTTCCTCTGAAAAGATATTTTCCCGGCGGTAAATCAGTCTTTTTAAAATCAAATGAGAAGTCGGGAGACCAGCCCACATTTTTACAAATTGCTACATCTGTTTAATGTTACTTTAATACCCATCATTAAAACACTACTGGGGACCCAGGAGGGAGAGAGTGTAACCCAGAACCTACCCTTTCCCTAGGCTTGGCGCTTTTGTTTGCAGTCATGGAGATTCTTCAGTTATTAGCTGTTACCAACGCATAGATGCCTATAGCAGGTATTGAAAGCGTTTCCTGTAAAGACAGCTACACATGTCAAAAGCAGGCCCAGATGCTCACAGGGGTGACCGTGTGCCACCCTTAGAATGTTCATCCAGTCACCCTGTCCTCTTCCATACATTCGTCCCAGTCCCCCCAGTGACAGGGAGGGCCCGTGTGGACATCTATCTGCTGGTGGACCACAGGGATTGGGCTCAGCGTGGCCTTCAGTTACTGTTTCTCCTCTGCCAGAAGTGTCCATTTCCTCAGCATCCACGCCCCACAAAGTGCATGAAAGAAGGACTGGGACTCGTTGCCCCTCCCAAAAGCTTCTCTAGCGCCTAGCAGGTGGGTTCTAATCCCAAAGGCAGGGGTTATCAGCCCATCCACTCCCTCAGGTGACTGACTTAGAGCTGCAGGTAGGGACTCTGAGTGGCCTGCCCTCCCCATGATTCTCAATAGAAGGCTTCTCTCTCCTCCCCACCCCCCCAGTCCTTGGCTCCACATGCATCTCTGAGCTCTGGCTCCTGTGAGGATCTTGTGCTGCCTGCCTGAGACATTGGCATATTAATAGGATGTTTGCCCTTTGAGGACCTCGAGCCAGTGAGCCAACTCTTAAGCAGGAGTTTTCAGTAGAGGACAATAGCAACTGACAATGCCTACATTTTGCAGGCCTGACTCCTCCGCATAGTCTGTAGTAATATCAAGAGAAGCTGGTGCCCCCATGCTTAGCAAATATCAGTGCCCAGGCGATGCACAGCTGAATTTCTTTTGTTCAAACCCTTCTCACAAACTGAGTCCCTCAGACCCAGAGCCCCATTAAATAACAAAAGAAAAAATGAATGGGGAGATTAACTGCAATTGGAAATAAGGTGTTGCTGACATGCACAAAATCAGGAAAAGCAACCTCACTCAGGCTCTTCCCACATAGAACAGAGCAGCAATCTGAAACCAACAGGAAAACTAGACCAAGGGTGTAGCAAAGTCTTGGGCACCATCTGGAAATAACACGCATGGCAAAAAGGAGATCCCTGGCTCCTGTGAGACCTCAGTTCTAGCATGTACTATTTTCCTTCTTTTTTTTTGTATTCACACCTTGTCTGCTGCACTAGAATTATAAACTCGTAGCAGAGATTAGATTAGAATCTTCTCAGCCTCCCCACAGTTTTAAAAACCATGCCGGACACAGAAATAGTAGGCGGAAAACTATTTCGTTTGAGAATGATTGTTTGAAATTGACTTTGAGGACTGTTAGCAGCCAAGAAAACTGCTTGGGCAAACTTACAGCTTCCTAGAAGCAGGAGAATGGGTCTGGGGAGGAGCCGCCTACAGGAGACGAGAGTGTGTGGCCATTTAGGGGGCAAAACCGAAAAGGGTTGTGGGAATTTAAACAGTACAAGGGAAACAAAAGGCGAACCTTTCCCACAGTGAAATGGAAGCAGCCAAGGTGCCATGTAAGGTATACAGAGGAAGGAAATGACCCGGGGAAGGAGATACAGGCCCGTGCTTCTGCTTCCCTCTCTGATGCAGAAGAATGTTGAATGTTCACTCTACAAAAAACATCAATATATTGAGTGCCTCACTCCAGAGAAGAAGACTAGAAAAGGCACCACAGAAGCCCCTGACCCTGAACCAACACTGACCCGGCCCACTGACCTAAAGAAACACTTTCCCCCAGCATGACAGGACCCATGAGCACAGAGGCTCCTGGGGACCCCGAGGCTCAGGACCAGCAGCAGCTCTGTTAGGCCCCTGGTGAGAGCAGCCGCTGCCCTGTTCCCATGAACAGTGTGTGGTTCTAACAGCCCTGGGCAGATCACGGTGCCCTGGCCCTCAGCTGCTTGCCCGGGGATGCCTGGCTCTTGCCAAGGACAGGATGAGCTGGTCTCAAAGTTACATGTGATTCTACCTCAGTTTCCCCATTCTTTCCCCTCCCTCTGAATTTGGGAAAGTTGGAGCTGTGGCAAGTGTCCTTAACCACTGCCTCCAGGGATCTGTCCTAACCCTTTTGCCTGCCAAGAGGATAATCCTCATCCCCTACGGTCAGCTTGCAGCTCCTGGCATCACTCACCACACCCCCACAGCGTTGGCAGCAGTCAGCATTCACACACACAAGGCACCTGCGCATGTGCATGCTTTCGACAGCCGCCCAGCCTCGCCCTGATCTTGGAAACCAGGAGCCTGGACGCAGCTGCTGCGAGGCAGAGTGGCACAGGGTCAGAGCCTTGCCTTGCCCTGGTTGCCTGGGTGCACCAGGCAGCCTACCTGCTTTCATTCCACAAATACTTGTGGACCCTTCCTCAGCACAAGCCCATGCTCTGTGCTCCAGGGAGGTAAGAGTGAATTAAGCACACGAGGTCACCGTCTGCCCAGAGCTTACCATGTTGAAAGGGCATCAGAGGAGTCACCAAGTGCTTCCCACCCCGCACACCCTCTGCCCCTGAAGGGGTCAGGAGCCCGTGGTGCAATGGGCACATCACCCGAGGCAGCCTGTTCAGTCCAGAAGAGCTATGCGAACACAGTGACATCGCGGTGGAAACACAGAGGGGTTAGGTGGAAACGGGCTGGGCAGAAAGAGGCTCCGAGGCACAGCAAGGACTGTCAGATGACCGGAAGTGACACGTGGTGGAACTGAAGCAAGGCAGGCCAGCCTGGAAGGGTGGAGGTGACGGAAGAGCTGGAAGTCAGTGCCAACCAGAGCATGACGAGGTGGAGAGTGCATCACCCTGCCGAGGCATCTGGACCCTGTCGGAGGTCACAGGGAGCCCTGTGGAGCCCGGCAGAAGAGGAACGCAATGGGGCATTTGCACTGATGGGGCAGGCTGAGGCGTAGGGAGCAGCCTGCAGCCAGGAAGCATGGACCAGGAGCAGGAACAGGAGCGAAGCCAGGCGACACGCACTGGAGTGGTCTTGAGGGTGTAGAATGGCAGCGGCTCCAGGACTCCGTGAAGGGGCTGCGGGAGACAGGGCAAAGGAGACAGCGAAGGCTGTAGTGTGGGCCCCGGGAGCAGTGGGGCAGGTGGCAGAGGAACAGCAGGGTCGGGAGGCTCTTAGTCATCTGCAGGGCACACACCAGGCAGGTACAGTGGGTGAGGAGCCAAGGCAGGGCTGAGATGGAGACGCAGAGTGTTGGGAGAGGGCAGGGAAGACACCGGCGGCCAGGATGGGGAGCACAGGGCCTGGGCAAATGCCCAAGGGTTGCCAGCGTGCACGGACCAGGCTGTGGAAGACGTCTGCAGAGGAGCGTGAGGAGGAGCTGCATGGGAGAGCCAGTGTCACAGAGGCCAGTGGCAGCGTGGGCCCAGCGTCACCCGGGCTGGCTGAAGGACAGCCCGGCACTGTGATCCTCCCTTCCCAGGCCAGCCCTGGCCCTGCACCCTCCAGCTGAGCCACCCGGCTTGGCTTGCAGGGAGACTTGGGGTGTCCGGAAGGTGCAGTGAGCAGACAGGCCTGTGGTGGTCACCTTCATCCCACCGCTTCCGGTCTTCTCCTCTTCCTCCTCATCTCCCCTCCTCCCTCAACACTTTCCCTTTCCTCCCTCTTCCTTCGAGGCTGCGCCTCCCGGAGTTTGTCTGGATGACCAGGGCCCAGGACCACATGTGGGCGGGTGGCCTGGAGTGGTGAGAGCTCGCAGAGAGAAGGGAAAATGGTTTCGGGTATTCGGCACAGCCCTCAGACCACACTTCTCCGGTGGAAAGGCTCTTTATAGCTCTGGGCTGGAGGACTGCAGAGGAGGTATGGGAGCATCTTGTGGCTCCCCGCAGTTTCTGCCAGCTTTGGAGCAGGGCACTGACCGCAGTGCCAGGCCCCCAGACACATCTGAACACCGCCAAGCCTGCAGATGCCAGCCTGACCTCTTGGGGCTTCTTTGGGCATCTCTAAGGTGGAAATGACCCCTTCTGCACATAGTGCCTTCCCTCTTCTGTCCCCATCCAGTATTGGCATGCATTTCAATTTTGCAGTCTTGCTCTTATATTTTCCTTATTCCCAAGACTACAATTACAAGAGGATTCACTCATTGAGCAATGCATGACTACCAAATCCTATGAAATCCTAGGTACTGGGGACAGATAGCAGTGATGCGTCACAGTCCCTCCTTCAGAAGTAGAGTTGTTCTCTTCTCAGTGGCCTATACCAAGCCTCAGAGCACACCTGCCCAGCAGCCATGACCAGCGTGAGCCCATCGAGCCCAGCACAGTGACCTACACTTCCTGTGGCTGTTCAGTGAATGGAATTTGCACCACAGGGAGCCACAGTTATTTCTAGAAGGTGGCAGACCCCTACTGAGGAGAAGACCTGTGTAATCCACAGTAAGCCTAAACCAGACAGCCTGCAGGAGGGAGCCAGGGTGAAGTCCCAAGGAAGCTAACATGGAGAGAAAATTTAGTCCCTTTCCCTGGAAACTTCCTCTCTGCAGTCCCAAGCCAAGCAGACAGATTTGGAAAATAACAGTGACATAATTCACACTTCTTTCCACTGCGCACGGTGCAGCCATGGCAGACTGGCCACTGCCTATGTTGTCCCCTCCCTACTTCCTCCAACACTGTCCTGCACAGCTGGAATACTCACAGATAAAACAGTATGACAGCTGGAATCTGAGGGATCCAGCAAGATTTGGGACAGAGAGAAGAGGATGGGCACAGGAAGACGACTGCAGTAAAATTGGACAATAAGTGAAATGTGGTGGTGGCACATGAGAGTTCACCTTACTATTCTATGTTGTGTATATTTGGAAATTTCCAGGATAAAAAGTTTCCTAAAACCCCGATGCATCCACCAAACCCAGGTCAAACTCACCTTGCATGTAAAGCTTTCCTCACTATACCCAGCTTGTAGACAGGCCCCTTCCTTGTCAAGCTCTACTGGTGGCATGACTACTATTAGCCAAGACAGCAGAATGATTTTCTGTCACCATACATCATGTAATGTATACACGTGTATTACTACCACCATGTATCATGTTTCATAGGTTCATCATGTTTCATAGGTTTCATGGCAGAAAAGAGAAAAAGTGGAAAGCAACTCACATTTTGTAAGGACCTACTATGTGTTTTTGATACCCATATCCTGTACCGCTTTGCTAGTGCAAGGACAGTCTTCTTATGAGTGTCTCATAAACTTATGTTAGAAAATGCAGAGCACTGAACAGCAGCACAACCACCTTGTGGACTAGGATGTATCCATAGAAGAGTTTCTCATAGGAGAGTGAAGGACTTGGAATGCTAAGGAAAACAAAATAAATGAGGGCCAAAATTACCTCTGTAGTGTGACCTCACTCTATGAAAACTTGCTGGAAGAAAAGGCTGGATGGGTGTGTTTATCAAAATGTGCTTATTTCTGGGTAGGGGATTATTGAGAATTGCTTTTTTAAATGATATATTCAAAATCTGACTCGATAATTATATGTAAGGAGAGTCAGCAAGCTTTTTCTAAAAACCAGCCAGGGGGTGTTCTCAGCTTCATAGGCCATGGTGTCTCTTTGACATCCACACAACTCAGGCTGTGAGCACAAAAGCAGCCATAGAAGATACTGAGTGGATGTGGCTGCGCACCAACAAAACTTTATTTACAGAACAGGGGTCAGGCTAGATTTGTCTGCAACCAGTCACAGTTCACCAATCTCTGATACACTACTTTGTAATTAGGAAAAAATACTGTGTGGCTTTTGGCTGTAAGATCCTGGTACTGTGGTCGACAGATCACTCACAGACACCTTACCTACATGCCTTGTTCTGCCGCCCTTGCATGAAAACACGAGAGAAATCAAACATCATAAATTAGAGAATATGAGATGAACATCCTATGCTGGAATGGCTAAAGTTCCATAAAGTTTGATAGTATTTTAAAGACTTCTGAGAAATCTATTTTTAGGACATAATGTGTGATGAACAGAAAAAGGAAATTTTTCTTTTTTGTCTCCCCCCGCCTCCCTTCCAGATTTTCTGAAGCAAAAGCCCTGGGAGAAAGTATAAATGAAGCAAGAAGGAAAATCGGTAAGCAAATGCAGCTCTCTGAGCCTCTTTTACAAGCCATTTTCCTGGTGCCTGCAAAATAGCCATGGAGCCTGTTTTCAGGAAGGTCTTTGCCAGGGAAGCTGCTTTGAGCACACGGAAGAGTGTCTTCCCTCTCACAGCCCATCAGGAAAAGCGCTTTCTCTTGTCTAGAACGCGAATCTTTCACCCTCATGCCCGGGTCCTAGCAACCCAGTGAAAGTTCTGCTTCTCCCTGGTTCTTTCAACAGCAGCCCAAGGTGCCACCACGTGGGGCTCCAGTGACCTCATGCATATTTGCAAGCGCTGCGAAGTACTTTCACAGCCTGCCAAGTTCATGCTTAGCGTTTCTGACACAGGTGTGCATTTTTAGCCCCATTCATAAAGCCAATGGAGAATGAGGGGCAAATATGAGCCAATGTGTCGGGCTGGGGGGACCCAGGCTGCCAGGTAGGAGCCCCACTTAGGGGAGCAGGCCTGGAAAGACGAGGGTGAGGCAAGAGAGAGACTCATTGCATGAGTCTCAGACCTGTTCCGCTGATAGAGAAGCATCAGAGACCCATGACCCGGGGTCAGGGCAGCTGCACAGCGAGGATCCCTGTGCCTTCACCTCTCCACTCAGGAAGCTGCTTCCCCCACCTCAATCCCCCTCACTCCACAAATGACAGCATGGAAGTAGCTGTGAGTGTCCCCTTTGACTTCTCCTACAGAATGTACAAAATCAGGATAGCCTTGGAGCTTCTAGGCTGGGGAGTCAAGAGCCCACCCTGTACCCAAGCCACACCCACTGACCACACAGAAAATCCCTGCTTCGTGGAGATCCTTACTCTAAGGTCCTAGATAGCCTAGATCAGCAGTGGCAAACCTATGGCACATGTGCCACAGAGAGCTGTTTGTATCATTGGAAGCTGTAAAAGGTTCACCATCACTGCCCTAGATTTCCACACACGCCCCTCACCGATACTCAGCACTGTCTTCAATGATGAATGTAAGGGGCATACACAGCAGAACCTGCAGTGCACACCCGAGGACACCATGCATTCTCTCGTTGCACCACAGAGTGGCGGTCTTTGTAAAATATCTTTTATGCTCATCATTAGTTCAGAATTATGGTAGCTATTAGACTTATCATTAGATCTTATTTAATGCATTTATAGAAAGTTCATAGATCTTTTTATCAGAAAAAGTTTTTAAATTTTGATAAATTTTATAAAATAGTTTAAATTTTTATAACTATTAGGTTATCATTGGTTTCTCTTTAAGATCTGTGTGGTTCATTATTATTATTATTATTATTATTACTATTACTATTATAACTTATTATTCTGAGGAAGCGTCCATAGCTTCTTCAGACTTGCAGAAGATCCTTGGACTAAAAACAACAAAAAGATTGCAATCTCATTCTTGGCCTGATTCTCAGAATCCCAAAAATAGCATGTGGACTACTGAGGTTAGAAGATTGTGTGTGTTTCTGGAGGTAATATGCATAGCTTCTCCAATTCTCTAAGGGGTCAGTGATCCAAACCAGTAAGGAAAATGATTCTAGGCTGATGCCCTCCACACGCCAGGGCTTCAGGCAGAAAGGCAGACACTTTGCTGAGGGCATCCTGTCCCCCAGCCCTGGACAGCAGTGCAGCGGTGTCCTATCTGGCATGGGCCACCAGGAGGAGGGAGGAAAAGGCCAAAGGGAGCAGATTTCGGTGGCTACAGGCCCATTTGTCAGTGCTGTCTGACCCTTTGGAGGAATAGGAGAGAAAGCCCTTTTATAAACTATTTCCTCTCCACGAACATAAAGACTTGCTCCTAAAAATGTCTAACTCTGTAAACCAAAATAAAACTGTCCCAACACCAGCAAAATGGACTAATGATGGAAGGTACCCATTCATTCCTTTTAGAGCTTTCAGTGATAACAAATAGCCCTCTGGGGCACACGTGCCATAGGTTTGCCACCACTGCCCTATACCATTGCTTAGTCTTTTCGCTCTGTGGTTGTTACCAGTGATGATGAATCCTCCATCATTTGGTGCAGTAACATATGCGGGTGAATCCCACTTGACATATTTTCAAGGTTGGGCAAATCAGAGGTTGTGTCCTGCCAGGAGCCAGGGGCCAAGGGAGTGGGGACTTATGTGACCTCCCCAGGGAGGATTTTGTTTTCCACACACAAAGGGTCCAGATATGTGAGCAGAAGCCCTGGGCAAGTAAACCTTGGTTTTGCAGAAAATAACAAGTAGAGTTCACACCAACTTTGAGATCCAAGCTTCTGTTGCTACTAGGCAAGTGGCGAGATCAGTGCTATTAATGAAGGCACTGCACTCTTTCATTCCAATATACCCACATTGTTGGCTCTGACTTATCTCTGGGCCTCCACCCTTCTAGCTGTGTTCTTGATCCAATGGGACCCAGATGATTGGACCCCTGAGACTCAGCTGAAGACCTTAACTCCGACATGGTGTTTGTTATGACTTGTATCTAGATATCCCCCAAAAGCGTCCTGTGGTAATAAGTCATAGGTGGGGCTTTTCAGAGGTGGCTGAATCTAGAATGTGCGATCCTGGGACTGATTCATGGTTCGATGCTAGGATTAAAGGTGTGAGTGGTGGATAAAATATAAGAGACAGAAGGCTGCCGTCATCACTTGTTACTTCACTGCTTTGCTGCCTTCTGCCTGCCATAGACTATTTTTCCTCTGCAATGCCCCTCTATCATACCACTCTGCCTTGGAGCCAGCCAATTTTGAACTGAAACCTCTACAAACCATGAGCCAACTAAACCTTTCCTCCTTTAACATTGGGTGTCAAGTATTTTGTCTCAGCAACAAGAGAAAAGTAACTAAGACAGTGCTTGACCCCAATGGGGAACCCATCACAGCATCTCAAACAGCAGGTGAAGACTGAGGCAGGCTAAGATAGAATTGTATACAGATGTAAAATTTCCAAAGCAACCTAGAAGGAAACTGGCTTTGGGAAAATCATGACATGAGTGCGTGCACTTTTCCTAGGGACAAATCAAATCGAGTGGAATCTGCCATCCTTGAGGAGTCCTTTGGGGGACTGGGAGGTGGGAGCCCACAGCACAGATGCACATGATGTACCCGGGACAGTTGCTCAGCACCACTCCCGCCCATGCCACATCTGGCCTCAGTACCTGCAGGCCGGCTTTCAATGCTGGGTAATGAACTTGTAATTCGCCTTGCAGAGAGGAAACCAGAGCTTTGTTGGTGAATTACAGCTCAACCAACCCACACGTTTAAAGTTCAAGCTGCCTCTGTCTCCTTAGGCAGTTTGGTTTTTCTCTGCCATTGTGACCTAGAGCTGCCTCTTGATCCCCAGAGATGCTCATTTTGGCAGTGGCCATGTAACATCTCTTTTTCACATGGTGTAACCAGTTAGCCATGACTTCCATGCTATTTGCTTTGCTTTTAAGAAGGCAGGGCAACGAGGTAGATCAACTGTCACCATAAACTCCTCTTTGTCCTTCTCCATAAACACTTGTACCAGTCATAATGTTGAATGAGTGGAAGTCAGAAATGGAAGAAGGAGCCAATTTAGAATCTCTCTGAAAAATAACAGAGTCCTTGTCTCTATAGGAGAGCCACTGCCATTGTATTGACCTTTTCCATACCTAAGAGCAACAGGCTGCTTTGGGTCATGTAGGCTATATTTTGGACATGTTCCTGTACACCCCACTTCCATCCATTCATTCTCTTAAAATGCACCGAGCTCAAACTGTGGGAAGAGTGGGCTGCTGCAGAGGCCAACTCACCAAGCAGGCATCTTTCCCTGGTTAGAATTCTGGCCTCAGTCTCCCCACATCAGACTCCTGCACTGGTGGCATTGTCTTTACAGTGAATGGCTGTTCTCTTGCACCTGGCCCATGCCTAATCCAGGCCAGGAACCAGCTGCTTTGGAGGCAGGGGAAAGAGCCAGACAGACACTCCTGGCCCCTCTTAATCTCCCTGCATGAAAACTGACATCACAGCAGGCTCCATAGAAGGGCTTCACTTGTAAGCCGCTTGGTAGCCAGTTTGAACCATAGAGAACATCAGAGAAGGAGCTGTTAATGAGAAGAGAAGAAAAAAGTAAACACTCGAAAAGCCAGCAGTGAAATGTTACGGAAATTTCCTTTCCTACTTTAAATTCAAAGAAGGGCTCCAAGCTGTTGTTGAACCATGCCTTCTTTAAATGTTTCCCTCACGCATTTGGGATCTGGGAAATCATATCTCAGATCTGAATCTCCATCAGGAGAACAAATAGGATGATTTCTGCTTATGTTCAGTTTGGTGTGTGTTCTGTACTTAGTCTCTGTTGCAGATTTAATTATGGATCTACCTCCTGCACACTGGCTTCAGAGTAAAGACAATGTCCGGCTCATTTTGCTAGATTATCATGACCCCTTTTGTTACTGTTTATTGCCAGCTCCAGGTAACAAGGACAGTAATAATAAGAGCAGCCTCCACCATCAATTGAGCTCTTGCTCCTGGGAGGCTGAGAACTTGATCCACATGATCTCATTTGGTCCCCACATGGAGGGACAGGACCTTTAAGCTGGGTACTGGCTGAACATCCCTAATGCAAAAATCTGAAATCCAAACTGTTCTGAAATCTGAAATGGTTTGAGTCCCAGGCGGTGAATTTTGGACTTTCAGATGAGGGATGTCAAACCATTGACGTCTATGAAATATTCCAAATACTGAAACCCTTCCAATCCCCAGCATGCAGACAGGGAATCTTAACCTGTGTTACCATATGTTGTAGATTCCATCATGCACAGTTTTTATCCTCTTCACACCTGTGCTATCAGGATGCATTTAACTGTCATTTGGCCATTTTTTTCATGTTTTAAAAGCTTCTGAAATGAGGGTTGCTTTTATGGGTGAGGTAGCCTTAGGTTCTATGAAATGGTATTTTCATTATTTCACAGATGTTTTTAAAAACTGGAGTTTCAGTAAAGTGGCCTAGTAAGTGGTCAAGCTAGAATTAAAATTGATTTCTGTCCAACCC